CGACAGGAGAGCCGATGGCCAAGTGGGGTGAGGGCGACCCACGCTGGATCGTGGAGGAGCGGGCGGACGCCACCAACGTCAACAACTGGCACTGGTGAGGGCCAGCGGGCCAGGCCGCGGGGAGCGCTCCGGCCCGGCCAGGGTTGCGGGTCCCTGGAACCTTGGTCGGAACAAAGCTAGGGCCCGGGGCAGCCGTGCCCGGAGAAGGGGGTGGGTTCTCACTCTGGCAGGGGTCCGTAGTCCCAGGTCCCTCCACGGACCACCACCTGCCTGTGTTTCAGTGTTTGGAGGGCAAGGGGGCGACGGGGAGGGCTGCACCCAGAGGAGGGGTTCCAGAGATACGAGAACATAACCTCCTAGCCGATGCATCCAGCCTGAGCGGGGACATGCTTCCCACACGTGGCCGGAGGAGTCAGTGAGACCCACACCGCCGTGGATTGTGTTGGGAGACTGCCGGGTGAAGCTCGAGGCTGCCGGGCTGGAATTGCTATTTTGCGGCTTACCGGTGAGATTCAGAGTCAGCCCTAAGAGACCGCTGCCTAAGTCTAGAGGGCAAAGGTTTGGAACGTGTCCTGCAGGTGCTGAGAGCTCAGTGATGCTGAAGATGCCATGGCCTCTCACCCGGAACTACTCATTTGGTTGTGTAGTAACTCCCGGGACTGCCCCTGGTTGCTGGGCAATCATAGTTTTATAACATGACCACTTTTAAAAAGCCTCCTCTCCTTTATGAAATTAAAAGTATTTCCTTATCTTTTCACTCCACTGAACTCGGTTCACACTGTCTTTTTACTTTGTTGCAGTTCTTTTCCTGCTGGTTTTTCTACTGTTTGGTACATTGGGAGGCAGAGAGTCATTTTTCTTCTCTGTGTCTCAGCCTGCCTGCTCTCCTCTTAACATACAAAATGTTTGATCTAATTTTTGTTTGTTTTGAAGCCCTGACTTACATTGTTTTCATGGCCATCTAGAGGACACAGTGTGTAGGGGATTTCTAGCACTGCCTGAATTTGACAGGTCAGAACACTGTGCTAATGAGGTCAAGATTATCAGTGTATTACTTCCTGGACTTGATAGCTAGATAGTGCATTCTGCGGCCCACTCTTGTACTCCTGACCTCAGCAAGATGGTCACAGTTTTCCATTTGGTCAAACGGGGGCGCCGTATTTAAGTGTCAGATACTGACCCTAGCACCATCATGCTGAGAAAGGAAAGCATAATTTTCGATTTGACTTGTAACCATTCCATGCAGCCATTGTCTTTATTGACAGTATGGGATTCCTTGTTTTCCTAAAAGAGGATAACGTGTTTGTGGATGTACTGGAGTGGGACTGATTTTTTCAAACTATTTGTCAGGCCTCTTTTAGCCTTGGATTCCCTTGAAAGCAGTCTGTCTTTCATTTGGCTGCTGGTCCATAGCGTTATTTCTGTTTTGCAGGACAGAGAGGGATGCTTCAAATTGGTCCACGGATAAGCTGAAAACACTGTTCCTGGCAGTGCGAGTGCAAAATGAGGAAGGCAAATGTGAGGTGACAGAAGTGAATAAGCTTGATGGAGAGGCATCCATTAACAACCGCAAAGGCAAACTTATCTTCTTTTATGAGTGGAGCATCAAACTAAACTGGACAGGTAAGTCTATGCCAGGCTGTTAGGATAAACGTTAACCGCATTTTGATTGACCTGTTAAGGAGCCGCGGGGAGCAGTTTGGGCAAAGTTAGGAATTCTTCCAGGGAGACAGTGTTGCTTTGGAGTTCCATAGCAATCAGTATTGGGTGCCAAAATTTCTCTGCTGTTTTGGGACACTAAATGCATCTCCTCTCTGGCGGGGTGGGGCGGGGGTCGTCTCAAGTGAAGCAGTTGGGTCACTGAATCTTTGGGCCACATAATATGTTAGGACATTTTATATGAGGTAATATTTCTCAGACTAGCTAACTTTTATCTCTTGGGTGATTGATTTAAAGATGGGAAGGGGGATTTTTTTTGTCGTGATCTTTTTTTACTTTCTCCAGTGTGAATCTACCAGTTTCAACGACTATGCTAATGAAGTTTGTATGTGACTATAATTTGGGGCAGTTTTATTCTCTAGTTTATGTCCCTTCTGTGGTGGTATTGGCAAAGAATTAGAGCCATGTATATGCCCTGCCTAGATGGTCCTAATAGTTGGGAGGCTAAATTTTAAAAGGCACTAAAGCTAAAGGAAGTACATGTAGGGGGCAAAGCATAAAGTAGATTTATGCTTCAATGAGCATTTCTCAAGTAAATGGTAATAAAGAAGGGAAAAGTAAATCTATCTGTTCATGACTTAAAAAAAAAAAAAAACTAAAGTATAGTAGTGTGAAAGGACCCTTAGGTGTCCTCTTGCCCAGCCCTCTTTTTATAGATTGAGAAGCTGAGGTCGAGAGAAGTGAAGATAAGTGTCTTGTTGGTTAATTTTGAAATACAGTCAGTTCTGCTATAACGTCACCCATGTGTTCTAAAAATCACCATACTGTGCGAAATTGCTCAACCAAAACCACAGGGTTTATAGGGAAGACAGGGTTAGGGACAGGACAGAACGCCCAAAACCTTCATCGGTGACATGTTTTTTAAATGTAGAAATGTAAAAATTGATAGCACAGTTCTACACATGTTAGATGGGAAGATATACATTAAAAATACAGTAAACGTGCCACTTTACCTTGAAAAAGACCCAAAGTTCACTTGTGAAAGTGGGCATCAGAAGGGTTGCAGCATGCAGGTTATTGTGAATTGGCGGAAGGAGGGTCAGCTGAAATCAGAGGGAACGTTATAACACCAGTGTGGGTGGCTCGTAACACAGGGGGAACTGAGGTTGCTAGTAGGTAAATGTTTGGGAAGTGTGTGTCTGTGTATTCCTGTGCAGCTCCTTTCAGCTGGGTGCAGTTTTGTGTGTGTTCACCTAGTGTTTCTCATGGAAGAAATCCCGTATTAGCAAGCGTGACATTCATGCTGTGATCAGATTGTCCCCTAATATGTCAATCACACTGGAACAAACTTCATTTTCAGAACAAGCATCTTAGCAGAACTGACTGCTTTGATTATCGACCCAAATTCTCCCTGGCAGAATTCACGCTAGTGCCACATCCACGTAGCTCTTAGTCCGCTACAGTAATAACACAGTTGGTCTCAGCAAATTTAATGAGGAAAGACGTTTCTTCTGGGGAAGGGGGGGAGGGCTGATTGCATCTGGCATTCTCTCAGAATAAAGAGGGTCAGTTCAGTATTTCAAAAGAAGTAAAAGCAGAGGAGTAGGTAGGACTCCAGAGCAGACTTTGCCTGCAGGAGAGACTAATGACATTGCGTTGTTTTTGACAGGTACCTCTAAGTCTGGAGTGCAGTACAAGGGACATGTGGAGATCCCCAATTTATCTGATGAAAACAGTGTGGATGAAGTAGAGGTTTGTGCTTCCTAATTCCTCATCTGAGTCTTCCACATCCTCTATTCTCAGATGAGAAAAATGACCTATCATTCAAGATGAAAGCCCAGGCTGGGTTCCAGCCTTCAGAACCTCAGTCTGCAGATGATTTTCTAGGTCTGTGATGCCACTGGGAGCTTCCAGCACAGCTGGTGCTTATTTAATTACTGTTTTAGCTAGTAACTTGGGTTCTAACGTTAGCCACCATGGCTTTGGCAGAGAGAACTCGAGAAGGAGCACTCATAGGGATTGGAAAAATGCCCCAACCCTCACGCATTTCCTTTGGAAATGTCAGCGGTTATCTGATTGCGCAGCACCCACATTCCACATTGTGGGTGCCCCTCAAGTTATTTACCACCTACTTCTGATCTTTCACTCAGATTAGTGTGAGCCTTGCCAAAGATGAGCCTGACACAAATCTCGTGGCCTTAATGAAGGAAGAAGGGGTGAAACTTCTAAGAGAAGCAATGGGAATTTACATCAGCACCCTCAAAACAGGTATCCCTTGAGTAGTTATGTATGCCTTGAGGAAGTAGTCCCCCCGCCAACCCCCGGCCATCAGACTGCTGAGTAAGGGGCCTGACAGACCTTTCTTTGCCAAATGAATAAAGATTTTGCGGGAGGGGGCTTATTTCATCTCCAAGTCAGTCTATAAACTCAGTAAGGGAAAGATCTAGAGATGGGTTGTCTGATATATTGACTATTGAGCTCTTGAAATGTGGCTTAGTCCAAATTGAGTTGTGCCATGAGTATAAAATACAGTGGGTTTTGAAAACTTGGTACAAAAAAAAGAAGGTGAATGATGAGTAGCTTTTTTATGTTGATAACCGTGAAATGATAGTTTGGAAATATTGCATTCAATATATTATTAAAATTAATTTCACTTGTTTGTTTTAACGCTGTAATGTGGCTAATGTAAAATTCTGTGTGAGGCTGACCCTGTATTTCTGTTGGACAGTGCTGATGTAAAGACTTGGCATCGCCTAGACTCACTGAGCACAGTCCTGGCCTATCTTTGATGCGCATTCGCCAGGGACACTTCGGGGGTCGTTAGGTAGCAGTTAGCTGAGCTCTCCCCTTAGAATTCCAGTTTGGCCCGTGTGTTCTGATCTTGGTGTTGGAGTACATAGCAGGGCTGTCGGGGGACCAGCGTAGAAGGGCCACCTCTCCTGGTGGGAGCACTTGCTCTGGTACCGTTAACTAACTGTGGTTGCTCTGTAGAGGTGAGGCAGAGTGGGGAAGGGACTACGTCTGCATCTGTGGGCGTCTCGCCCTCTTGAAGTCATTGCAAGTGCCACTACCGTCACTCGCTCCCATCCAAAGTAGGTCTCATGTACATTTGACAAGTTGTAATGCTTCTAATGGAGTCGGGTTCAAGACAATCCAAGTTAACACTCTGTCCTGCAGCATACGCTCAGATACCTGTCTGGCATAGACCAAAGGTAAAGGCATGAAGTAGATAGACTCTTTCTCTGTTGTTACCTCATTCTGGGGCAAGATGGCCATGTTTGTCAAACTCTAAAGAAGCCCCAAATCTCAGCTACTGAGAAATAACTTCCAGGAGCGGCAATTTTATCTTTTCAGAGTTCACGCAGGGCATGATCTTGCCTACGATGAACGGAGAGGCCGTAGACCCAACCGGGCAGCCAGCACTGAAAACTGAGGAGTGCAAGGCTAAGTCTGCTCCTTCAAAAACCCAGGCCAGACCTGTTGGTGTCAAAATCCCCACTTGTAAGATCACCCTTAGAGAAACCTTCCTGACCTCACCAGAGGAGCTCTATAGAGTCTTTACCACCCAAGAGGTAAGTGTAATCCTGTCCTTCAGGCCTCAGGGCATCTGTTCTGGGTGACTTGGGTTGTGGGCACATCCCCTGTGTGTGCAGAGCAGGTACTGAAAAGCAGATGTTGTGAGGTTTTCCTCCTACAGGCAGAGGCAAAGGGAAAGCCCTTCTGTTCAACCTACGCAGCAATAGTGGACATGCGTTCTTTTTCCTCCCGTATACTAGTTTTGGGTGGTGTGAGTGGGCACCACTAGAAGCATTCTTGTTAGAAAAGGGAATGGAGGGGCGCCTGGCTGGCTGCCGGTTTAGCATCTGCCTTCAGCTCAGGTCATGATCCCAGGGTCCTGGGATCTGAGCCCCACATCGGGCTCCCCCTCAGCGGGAAGCCTGCTTCTCCCTCTCCCGCTCCCCCTGCTTGTGTTCCCTCTCTCTCAGTGTCTCTGTCAAATAAATAAAAATCTTTAAAAAAAAAAAAAAAGAAAAGAAAAAAGGGAATGGATCTGAAGGAATGGCACCCTGGATTCACAAAGCATTACTGAAGTCAAAGCCTTGAGTAGTAGCTGTTCCTTTGTAGTGGCACAGAGTCGATCCTGGTCGTTGGGCAAAGGGGTGCCTTTTGGAAATGAGAGCTGAGGTGTGCAAGGATCAGCGGGTCCCACTGAGAGGGACGTCTTCTTCCTACCTCCTTTTTTCCCCACAGCTCGTTCAGGCCTTTACCCACGCTCCCGCAATGTTAGAAGCAGACAAAGGTGGGAAGTTTCACCTGGTAGATGGCAACGTCTCCGGGGAATTCACTGATCTGGT